CTTTAGAAAGGGCAAGACGAAGAAGAGACATTTAATCATAAGGCAGACATTTTGGTGTACCGAGAGTCGAAAATTTTCAGAAAAATTTCTAGAACACGTATTGTTAAGCCTATTGTAAATTGATACATTTTATCGCAGTCACTTGAGATGATATTATTTCTATACTTAATTAGCATCACACTACGAACGCATCTTAATCTTTGCAGCAAATGGAGGCGAGGCCTTATTTAATATTCCGCCTGATTTTCCCTGTGTTAGGAGTCCGCAGTGCCCATTAGACAGGAGATCAAGTGGGCCTCAGCGCCCAACTGAAGCAATGACGAAGAGATGAATCCAAGCTCGAGCTGGGAATGGAATCCCAGTCTTCCTAATTATAGAAGGTGATTCTCTCGCTAGAAAACCAAAATATTACTCAGTAATTTCTTCATTTTTGTATAGATCCCTATGAAAATTGACATAGATGAATCTTACGTCTATCGAAGCTTACTTTCAACAAGATGGCGCAACGTACTGCACATCTAGTGCAAGCATGAGGGAAACTGAAAGTTATTTCGGCTACCGATTAATCTATAATTTAAATTGACCCGGTTGTCTCCTAACATTTCCAGCTAGCATTTTTTATTATCTCATAGAGTAAAATGAAAACAAAGGCCGCGCCATAGCTCAAGCGGTTAGTCGCTGGCTTTCCACCGTGGCGGCCTGGGTTCGATCCCGAGTCTGGTCAATTTGGATTTGTGGTGGACAAAGTGGGCTGGGGCAGGTTTTCTCCGAGTACTTCGGTTTCCCCAGTCAATCTTCATTCCCCCAACTGCTCCATAATCACCCTCACCTATCATCTGGGGCTGGCACAACAGGCCAGAAGTGGCCGCAGTACAAGGGACTTAGTCCCACCCCACTAGCAATAATAAAAAATGAAAACATTATAGCATCTTTCTGCCGAAAGTGAAAGCAAATGAAGGATTGACACTCAAGCAAATATCTGTGGGTCCAAAGAAATAGTTGCCACTGAATAATAAGCCAGTGGGTATGAAACTGAATTGTGACAGGGTCCTTATTTGCAGGGATTTGATATAAAGAAGAGCTGTGCTCTTTTGGGGGGCACTGTAGCTCACTCCCCATTGCGACTGAACGAAGCGAACTCTGTAGGCAAAAAAAAATTTTCTTCATTACGAACAATTACTCTGTGCCAGTGAAGTGTACAATGTAGTACATTAATTGCAAGCAAATTTTTAGTCTAAATGAATGTGCTAGTCCAGAAAGGGGGCCTTGGTCAGTTGTTGACAAAATTAAGAAAGGAATACTCCACATTTGCTTAGTCATTCTCATGTCGGATTTGAAGTTCTCTGAACGGCGGTAACGGAAAGTTCTACTGTCTGGTATATAACACAGTGTAGTCCGTCGAAAGTCGATGTTTCAAAGGAATTGCTTCGTTTTCTAACTGTTTCGTGTTTGTTTCGTGCTTGGTGACTCTGAATATGGAGGCAAAATGTTCCTCGGAAACGTCAGTTGAATTTCAACGAACGACAAGAATCGATGTCTTTTTATTCTTATATTATTTTATATCTGTTACTTTGTGGCACTTTACTGCATAAACTATTAGACGTTCTTGAAACTCTTCCAAAATAATTCTTAAGCCAAAATGAATAAATTAAGTATATACACATATATACACTCTTAACAGATCTCTTTGGGGGGAATCACCCTGTCAGCGTAAATTACATATTCTTCTCCAGATATTCTGGATCATTTAATCTAAGTCTCTTATATATTTCGCTTCAGAATACCGAAGAGCCTTTTTATCTTTTTTAAGACTATAGTGAGCAGTGACCGCATCTGATATTATTAAAAAAAGGAAGCAGCACAACAAAACGACTGCCAAATTACTATGGCGCATGAAGCAATGAGTCCGAAAGAGAATTTCTAGGATCTGAGGTTCTCACAGCGGTGGTTCTGAAGAGTTCTGTCTTCTGGGATATAACACCGTGTTGAGAACCAACATCTGTTGCCTTCTAACAGACTACAAGAGGTGATATCCTAGAATCTAGAACTCTCATAAAGTGAGCTTAATTTTTGGAACGAATGAGAGATAATCAAAGTTCCTACTAAAGCCTTAAGTACGAAAAGGGACTAAGTCAGTGACCTGTGTCCCTTCATGCAGCATGCAAGATCTGCATGATGATTTAAGCTTACTTCCCTTATGAGATGGAAAAAGTGTTTCACAAAAACAAGCATTTACCTTCAGATAATAAATACACCATTACACAGAAAACAGAATTGATTAAGATCCCTTTCTGTAAAAATATATTGATATATACTAATTGAAGCATGAAACACTCCCTGATGTTGTGATCCATTTTCTTCAGACTTCTGTTAATATTTGTCAGAATCTCTTTTAGTAAGTTGATAGGCAACAGAGTCTAGTTTATTCTTATGATACATATCTTTTTTTACATTTATGATTGTTAGACATGCTACGTAATCATACGTAAACTCCAATTCGTACCTAATTACAATTTGACATATTCTTCAATTTACAGAAATATGCGGGGATCCAGAATTTACACATTATACACGTTTATTTTCATATAGATTTAGTGCTATGTAAAGAGAATTGTAGATACATAATGATATATAAGAAATTTCCTTTAGAAAATAAATAGAACAAACTAAAAAGAATGTTATTAGAGAAATTTGAAAATTTCAAGAGAGATGAATGTGATATTCCAAGTGTGGAAGGATTTACATGTTAAGGCAGAAGATGGAGGAACTTCTGAATATTTCATACATATGCAAATACCGCCTTATACATATATATCCTTTCTGTAGTGTATTATATTTTTTAAAACAAAATAAATTTATATGCATGTGAAACACGGAAGACAATTTAAATTTTTGATCATAATTTACAAACATTTTCTTAAGAAGAATTCTAAATATAAGGTGGCCAAACGTGATCTCTAACCAAGAGTTAAAAAAAGGGGGGGACAGAAATCTATTTGTTTGGAAATGAATAATATGACTTCTACATATTTTAAGGGCGGGACAATGGATCAATAGAAAGGAACGGGTTGGTGTATAATCCTCCTGGAAGTAAAAGCGGAAGAAGACCAAAAGGAACTTGGAAGAGAAAAGTCGAGGAGAAGGCTCTAGAAGAAGGTATTATATGAAAAGAGATTAAAGTTTTTGGCCAAAAACGGGGTCTGATAGCTGCGCTTTCTGGTGCCCTATGCTTCTTGTAGGAGAAGCTGGAGTGAGTAAGGAAGGTTATCATTGTCGTTGCTGTTGTTATATATATTTTTTTTTTCTGTGGCGCTACAGCCCCAATTTGGGCCTAGGCCTACCTCCATGAAACTCTCCTTTTCACTTCAGTTTTTCTAGATCTTACACATACGGTAGGACTCCTTGGGCGAGTGATCAGCTCGTCGCAAGGCCTCTACCTGTAGACAAACACAGAAAAACGCACACAAACATCCATGCCCTGAGTGGGATTCGAACCCACGATCCCGCTTCCGAGCGAGCGAAGACAGTGTTGTTATATTTAGCTGTACTTAATTCTATATAAACTGCTCCTCTAAATTTTCTGGTACTTTTATTTAAGGACGTTTTCTAGGTTTTCCTACTCTAATTAAACAAATTTATTCTTTGTATATATATTTTTTATATTTTATTGATATTTATCGGTGTTTTTACACTATGAGATTTATACATAATACTGGCAAAATTATGAAAAGGCTTCAGTCTCTGAATAAAACATGATACTAGAAGACGGCTCTTTCATATGTCACTGCAATTCAAGTGCTGTTTTTTGTATACTCATATATTTACAGACTCTTTCCAGGTTCTGTGCAATATAATTCCAGAAGTAGAGGCTCTGCTACAGGAGATGCACTACATCGAATTGTTCATAGAGCCGAAATCAGATATAGAAACTCAGAGAAACTTCCTCATAATATAGACATCAGAGAATGGAAAAAAATATTCGTGGAATTTGGGAATATATTGCACAAGCAGGAATATGATCTTCCAAGAAAAAGTTATTTTACAGTAAGAAAGTAATATTGATCTTAGGCCAACCCATTTTCAGCATATTTTTAGTTGATTCATTGTAGTTCTCTCTACATTTCACTGAGTCCTGGTTGTTCCTCATTTCCTGCCTATTGAAATATTCCCGAGAAAATTCCACTTCAAATATCTTCCTCCAGAAACCCAACCCTACCACGTCTTCACTGTACTGCGTATATATAAACCTATCTAATTTTACAAGTTCTTCTATCTTTCGGAATCTGACACCATGTAGTTTGGTAGAAGTTTCTAGGTGTACCTAGAGGAAAAATATACATTCTCCAACTTTAGTTTCGAAGAGTAACCCAGTCAAGCAGAAAGAGACAGGAAGCAGTGCTTCTCTTCCACAAAGTATAAATATACAGACGTTTAGGAGGCAGTATTTTCCACCGAAAAGTCCGCGATTTTTTATCATATTCCAGAAGATAGTAGCCTTCATGGCCGTCACCATGAGACACGACAGCTCTCGGTACTCCATTGGCTTTCTTCATATATCCAAGTCTTTACCTGCACTTTCTTCGTTTTTCATATCTTCCTTGTAAGATATACATCATTCTTTCCCACAGAGGGTGGTGGTATAGTAGCTTGTATTGTTGTTTCGTATTCGCGAGGTAGGGGACTCAATTCTGGACCCAAAAGTTGACTATATTAATTGGAAGTTTCATCATTCCTTCTAGGAAAATTCTGGGAAAGTACCTTAAATAACTCAAGAACCCTTAATTTAAATATTCAAACAATTCTTTTCCTTGTATAAACTGCAACTGAAAGGTCGTCATCAAATAGACTGAAAATCAACGGTTCACTTACCTGACTCCGATTGCTGTTACGAGGATGAACATGAGCGGCATGAGAGTTGCGAAACAGGCCAGGAACACTGTCTGCATGTCTGAGAATCCTGTGCCACAAACATAACCTCAGTTACTTTCATGTTCTTCTAAGAATTCTACACTACATGTTATGAATCAAACAGATACACAGTCTGCATGTCGGAGAATCCTGTTCCACAAACATAACCTCAGTTACTTTCATGTTCTTCTAAGAATTCTACACTACATGTTATGAATCAAACAGATACACAGTCTGCATGTCGGAGAATCCTGTTCCACAAACGTAACCTCAGTTACTTTCATGTTATTCTAAGAATTCTACACTACATGTTATGAATCAGATACACAGTCTGCATGTCGGAGAATCCTGTGCCACAAACATAACCTCAGTTACTTTAATGTGCTTCTGCAAAACTTTCACAATTTCCTATGAATTTTCAAAGGAAATTGGAGGCCTTACTGTATACAGATTTCAAACCTAACAAATGCTGAAGTCATTAATTTTTCAAACTGAAATATTATGCGTAAGCTGAATTTCATTCTCTTTGCAAACTAATTGTGAAGTACTTTGAGGCAGTTCGACCCAGGCATGTTTTCTGTACTTAAATTCTAGTTCGGTTGCTGTTTCTTTTCTCTATGTATAGGATGGAAAGAATGTCTCTTATATGGAATCATAAAGTGGACGATTTCCATTAGGAACTGAAACAGATCAGATATGGCTAGATAAATACGTGTAATATCACAAGTTTACCTATACGTGCCCGTAAAGCTTTACCAACCATTTTGGATGCGCACTGACATGGTGTCAAGGTAAGTACGAGCGTATAATTCTCTTTATAAAGCTTCAGATAATAAATATTAATTTTAACTTAATTCCAGTTCTTTTATTAATTCTAATATTTCCAGCTTCTTCAGTTGTTCCCAAATGATCCTTCTGCCTTGTTTCAATTGTAATTAACTTCTGAAGATATGAGCCCTTTAGATATTCGATAGGACTACTTGGGCACTGAATCAGCCCATCGGAAAGTCCCTTTCTCAGCAGGACAGCACAAACACAATAGAAACATGGACTTATATCTATGCCCAGACTTGAATTCGATTCCATGATCCCAGTGTCCGTGCAGTAAATACCTTAGACAAGGCGATCAGTGTGAGCAACTACTGATATTTTCGGTTGCAAGGTTCATTTCATCTTATAAACACATTCTATTAATGCCAGTTTGAATGTTCTTCAAAGAAACAGACTTCTCTACGCACTTGCCTTCGCGGAACTTATTAAACTAATTCCATGGAGCAGAGCCCTTCTTGAGAAGCAGCCAGTTGCTCAGTTACCCAAGAATTCCCCAAATATTTTATGGATCTCGAAGGTTCATTACCATGTTAACAAGATCCCTTCACTGGTCCCAATCCTGGGCCAGATTAATCTAGTCCTTAATACTCCATCATTTTTCTAACAATTTATATTTTAATATTATCCCCCCACCTACGTTTGGGTCTTTTTAGTAGTTGTTTATCTTCTGGCTTTCCTACCTAAACCCCTGGTCATTCCTCTTCTCTCCGTCCGTGCTACATGTCCTGCCAACCTCATTCGTCTTGACTTGATCATTCTAATTATACTTGGCGAATAGTGCAAGTTATGGAGGCCTGAACATACCTTCCTATGTCACAGATAACATACTGTCATAGTGTCCGTTGATTATTCGGACGTTCCGATTAATTTTCTGTGATGTATCAATAAAATTACGCATTGTCGAATGAGGTAAGGAACAATAATTCCTTGGTGTGGAAACCCCTCACCCAAATTAAGGCGCTATTCTATATTTTGCCTGTAGTAAATGAAGAAAATCACGAGATACATCGAGGAAGATAGCTGGTACCTGTCAGGGATTCGAGTACAGTAATGTCCCATTACAATCACACAAGCTACTGCTGTGTTAACCATCTCACTGTTGGTCTTTTTAACGAGGTGTATGTAGTAAAGAAGGCGAGTGTCACAGCAATACAGAGGTGAATTTTATGGCAGAAAACGAATGTATGTTTGTTTCTACCGAAATTATTATCTTATTCTGTATTTAAAAGTAATGTTCGTTGACTGGCCTATCATGAATATTATTCCTCAAGTCCTATGAATTCGTGCTCCTGAGACAATCAATGTCTTGTTTCAGAACATGACATAAATTGCTTCCGCTCCTTCAGTACGTTGTCATGTTATGATTAATGCATTGTCAAACCTGAGCGCTATATCAATTACACTATGATATTTTTACGGATTACACTTCTATATACGTAGAGATATTTGCGTCAGAGGAAAGTTATTATCTTTTCACTTACCAGAAACACGAAGGGAACGACGTTTTGCCTTACACTTAGACAAATGAAAGGATAGCTCCGAACTACTCTTCTATGCTTAAGCTGAAAGAGGATTGTGTGATAACTGAGGTGCTGAAAAATACCATTTCTCGCAAACAGGTATTATTCAGAAATGTAGCTGCCATTCACAGCCTCCATCACGTATTTTCGTCATTTATCTCTTTCAACTTAACAAAAAACGAAATCCCCCTTTTTCACTCAGCTTTAGCACGAATGCCAAGAATTTGATTGAGAACTTTCTGCTTCGAATTGAAGTGGGGGTTTGGGTTTCCTTCTCCCTTGCTCTCATTCTGAGGGCTGTAGGCTACATTTCCAGTAGGAAGATCGCACAGCGAGATGCAAATATGGTTATTATTATTATTATTATTATTATATAATACTTGAACGCCTCTATGGTCTAAATGCCAGAATTCCTGACTACAGATCCAGAGGTCCGGGTTCAAATCTCTACACTACCATATTTTTTCTGAGAAGCAGTGGGGTCCACTCAGCCTCGTCAGGATAATTGAGGAGCTATTTCAAGGAAATAGCGGCTCCGGTCTAGAAAACCGAAATTAACGATCGTGGAGATTCGTTGCGCTGATCACGCGACACTCTCTATCCGCTAAAGTTGGCACTAACTTCGCCTAAAAGCGGCGGTCGCTCGGTCGGTATAGTTCACTTGCGGACTCAAGGCACGCAGTTTAGTTTTTATTATATAGTTTTTGTTTTGTTTGTGTTCTTTTGTTTGTCCTTTTGCTTCTGATTATATTAACATTGAGCTTTGGGATGCTGAGTTGTTAAAAATCATATTATTGTTAATAGGGAGTGTTTATTGATGCTAAGCTATATTTCCATGACCAGGTCAATTACATTTTCTCTCAATGTGCGAAACTATTGGGTCTAGTTCGTAACATTACCTACAATTTCTCTTCGCTAGACTGTATGTTCAGTTTGTACACTACGTTAGTTAGGTCTAAACTTGAATATGCGTCCGTAGTCTGGAATTCGATTACGTCAACTGATGCCAACAAGCTGGAACGCATCCAGCAGAGGTTTGCGGCCCTTTGTTTTAAACGTTTCTTTCCTAAAGTTCACTACAATTATTCTCTTGCTCTTGAGGAGTTAAAATTACATACTCTATGTACTAGGAGACATCGCCTTGATGCTCTCTTTCTTATTCAAGTTTATTTTGGCTCTAAATTCTGCCCTTCTGCCCTGGAAATTGTTGGTCTCCGAGTTCCTGCTCGGTATATCAGAGATTTTGCATTGTTCAATGTTTGCCCTTTATTTAAGAATTGCCCCTCTGCTAGATGCGCAGCTGCTGCTAATGTTGTCTGCAGGGAGGTTGACGTATTCGGAGCCAGGAATGTTCTACCCAAACAAATTTTAAATACAGTAAACTGTTAGTATTTTATTATTTGCATGTTCAGTAAAGCAAAATGAATTACGTAATTTTCCTCTGAAAATCTATACTATTCAATTCTTAATTAAATATTAATGTTTCATTCCTATATTCGTAATAGCACTTAGTTTAATCATAATGAAATTTTTATTACTGTTATAATTATCACTTATTTGTTTGTTTACTTTTACTTTTATTAATTATTATTTCTTCCAATTACTTAACTGTAATTTGTATTTGACTTTTAATAAGTTTGTATGTAATGTAATTCAGTCATCTACACTGTGCTGAGTCTGTAATTGGCCTTGCGGCTGTTGACTCGGCACATTAATAATAAAGAATTGAATTGAATTGAATTGAATTGAATTATTATTATTGTTTTAATGAAAATATTACTATTAATATATAAAATTCGTTGTTTTGTATTTTTGTAATCGTTTTTTTTGTTATTTCTTCTTACTCGTGTGATTTGCCTTTGGGCTGTTAAAGTTTTACGTGGATGATTAAGAACTGAGTCGAACTGAACTTGATTCTTGATAACAGCATTAATATCAAGTGATTACATGAGTCAAGGCTTCTATTGGAATGGGAGAGTTTAGGTTCTCTCTGCCGTATCTAAGAAAAGCGATATGTTCTGGAATCTGACGTCGTGTAGTCTGCTGAAAACTAAGGAACCTATCGCCTCTATCTTCAGAGTGAGAAATTACTTTACATCCTGCTCGCTACTTGCACATTTGGCTTAACCCTAAATTCTTAGGACAAAGGAGGTACATCCCAGAACATACCACTCTTATTTATTAAAAGTTTATACGTGTTCAGCTGATCAAAATAGTCTCTCCTTTCTGAAATGCAGAAGGTTCATTATTGTGTTCACAAAATCCCACCATTGGACCCTATCCTGAGTCAGTTTAATCCAGTGAACCTCCTCACGCACTAAACCTCTAAGATCCATTACATTTTTAACCTCACATTTACACCTATGTCTTCTATGTGATATATTCCCTTCTGTTATCCCGACAGACATTTTGGATGCGGACAACTTCATGGCAGTATGGACGACTATTGGCTTCTCAGGAATAATTTTGTTCCATGCACTCTGTTCGCTGCTTAGCTAACAGTTAGCTAGACGTTTCGCTTAATGATTTTCATTAGAACTGGCTTCTGAGGCCAGTTTTTCTCTTTGTAAGTGATCAAACAGCGCGAATAAAGTCTGCTAACAAGGACCAGAAACTCAGTCTGTGTAGAAGCTGTGTGATAGAGCACTGACAGTTAAACTGCGACGTCGCAACTTAGAATATCTAAACTACCAAAGCATAACTGAAACACAGCTCCATAGAGTTTGTAGGATTTCAAGTAAGATACGAGTTGGCTAATATAAATACTGCATTCAAGTTTTCAGGTCTTGAAATATTAATGAGCTCTCTCTTTGATGAAATAACATAAAATGTTTGGCAATCCTGTGTTAAGCACACAGAAAAACTTTCAGCAGGATTTCAGCAGCGAACAGCTAAGCTATATCATCATGGACTTAGTTAAAGTACAAGACAGTAACCTTTCTTCATGTAATTCAGGTTCCTGTGACGAAGAAATGTTTGCAATGGGTTTGCCCAAGAATTACACTCATATTGAAGAAAATTTATCAACAAATTTCACTTTTTTATATCGTGGCGTGGCGCCTAAAGGCCGGAATATCTTAGCGGGCGTCGATTGCTAGACAACGGCTTGCTAAAACATATCCCTGGGTTAAATTAAACTCTTGTGTTCTGCAAGCTTCCAGTTTCCAGAGTGGAGATACATGTCGTTGCTTCAGTAGAAGCTTCTACTTGTGATATAAGATGCTCCGTGCTTAAACTAATCATAATATACAATGATTATGCACTATACATATTTATGAGAAAATTTAAATACAGGTCACAAAAATTTAAGCTTAAATTTATTAGAAGCTGCTCAAAAGTAAACCCAATTTCATTCGAGTCGGATTCATTTTTTAAGTGAAACACAGCTACAATTTTGTAAAGTAGTAACAGTGTTGGTCTCTGACATTAAGGGAGGAATATATAGACAGAGGGTATTTGAGAACAGGGTGTTGAGGAGAATATTTGGACCGAAGAGGGATGAAGTGACAGAAGGTTGGAAAAAACTGCATAATGAGGAGCTTCATAACTTGTACTCTTCTCCAAGTATAATTAGAATGATCAAGTCAAGGAGGATGAGGTGGGCAGGTCATGTAGCACGAATAAGGGAAGAATGCGTATAGAATATTGTCGGGAAAGCCAGAAGGAAAGTGACCACTGGGAAGACTAAGTCGTAGGTGGGTGGACAATATTGAAATAGATTTTAGAGAGGTAGGATGGGATGATATGGATTGGATTGCTCTGGCTCAGGATAGGGACCAGTGGAATGTTCTTGTGAACATGGTAAAGAAATTTCTGGTTCCATAAAATGCTGAGAAATTCTTGAGTAGCTGCAGATTTTGCATCTCCTCAAGAAGAGGTGTAAGTAAGTAAATAGCAGTAGTAACTTGTCATATAGACATGAAAGCTTGGAGAACTAAAACGAAAGATAAGCACAATGCACTGACACTAAATAAGATTCTGGAGAATAGTTAAAACTGCATTGGAATATGCCATATTCGGAATGAAGATATTAAGATAGAAGTGAAAATGCAGCAAGTACAAAATAAAACAGAAACCATATAAAAGTAGATAAATTACTTGGATAAAATGACATATTGCTCTATACAGAAATAGATACTACAGTATTAACAAGGGGACAATGAGACTGGGAAATCCACTGGAAAACATGCAACGATTATGAAGCTGAAACAGATTTGATTGCCTATATATACAGAGAGGAAGAATAGGAATTATCGATTATAAATGATATGATCATATACTGATATGTTGGGATTTTGGACTTTATCCATCGTCCTGGTTTTTAAGATAACAAATAAAAACACGACGTTTCGGAAACTGGATCTGTTTCCGTCCTCAGGTGAAGGAAAACACCTATTCAGTTGGGTCCCTTAGAAAGAGCTAGCCTCAATCACTGGACAAACCAATGTCACAAATCATGAAGATTATAAACACCTGAGACCAGGCTAAGTCCATGAGAGCTAATAAGAAAAAATATTCATGACAAATTGTAGCAAACACCTACAAGCGTGGAACCAGGATAGATAGATCTGTAGAAATTTATGCCACGAAACTAAACTCATAACCTTGTTATCTTAAAAACCAGGACGATGGATAAAGTCCAAAATCCCAACATATCAGTGTGTTACACACCATCGTCAGAATCCTATAGTAACTACTTGATATGATCATATGTATGAATTATAAGTTTGGAAGTACGTGGAAGAAAGCAGTAGTCCCAGTATGGGAGCCGAGATAGCGCAGTCGGTATAGTGACTACGCTACGGGCTGGACGACCTACGAGTCGGAGTTCGAGTCTCTGTAGGATGAAGAATTTCTCCACATTGTCCAGACCGGCACCGGGGTCCACTCAACCTCCTATGCAATGGGTACCGGGGGAGCTTTCCCAGGGGGTAAAGCTATAGGGGCGTGAAGCTAGCCAATAACATCCAACTAATGCCGAGGTCAAGAAAATTTGTGTCTATACAGCCATTCCCTCATACGCCTTCACGGCGTAGTACTTAATTAGTTAATCACATTGACAACTTTAATTAATTAAATTTCATTTAATATATAAGTATTTGTCTGGTAAGATTGAGGAGAGTAAAGAAAATCCGTAGTAAGGATAACAGATGTCCCGGTTAAAATTCGAAATGTGCGGCTTTCAAATGCTAGCCCAGAGCGTTATCTCTTGAACATCCTCTTCGGTAAATGAGCTTAAATCATTTTTGTGCTAGACGAGAGAACAAAATAATAAATACTACTCAAAACTGAAAGAAACCTTCCCCTAAATACAACTATCATCCAAATACAACATGCTCATTCCATAAAATAAATATTTTATTATCAATAAACATGAATATTAATTTGGTTGTTCTCGGCCATTTTGAGTTTTCTTATTTAAAAGAATGTCTAAAACAATAGTCATGTGTACTGTTACAAACAGAAGAGCTGAGGGTGCCGTTACTATCACTTACCGAAATCAATTTCTCCGAAGTCAACCATCCCCTCCCCCGAAGCATTGTAGGAACTGTTACCAAAGAAGCCATCATCAGGACTTCCAATGGAAGTACTTGGGATGCCAGAAGTCGAATTGATAAAGATGTCACTTTTATTTGACTCCAGAAGTTTTCTGCCATCCGGGAGGAACATCATGGCTGGTCCAGTCGTTTTTGTTACTGAAACCTTCTGGCAAATTTTATGCACTTCATTGTCCTCCTACTGTCGTAATCTTCCTCGGCGTTCCTCTGCCTCGCCATGATAACCAATTCTGTTTATGTGGTTTTAATATAGAAGTATTAAAAATGAACAACACTTCTGTGTTGTCATTACTGAGCTGTTTCTCTTGGTGTTATTTCAGACTTCTGTTAAACACTGTCAGTTTCGTCTGAAACAGAAATGACGAATACAAACAGATAAAAATTAAAAAATCTCTCAGAGAACAAAGATAAAATTTTATAACTGGCTGTGGATAAATGCTGAAGTTTGCGTTTATTGTCATCAAAGTTTGTTCTACTTTGGCCTGGGAACAAGAGGAGCACGAGGCTGATAACAATGACGATGATAATGACGACAGTGAAACACATAAAGCAAAACGTCACAGGTTCAAGATTTTGTCATCTCTTACTACAATATTGTCTGTGCTCTTCTCACTTCTATGAACCAGATTATCACAGAAACACAATTGTCCAGATCTGTGTTTTTGTTTATTATCTAGTGTTCCGATAATACGGACAGTAATATCTTTACTAAATTAACTTAAAAAAAGAAGTCTTTATAACTCGCATTTATTTATAAGTTTATAAGTTTCATTTATAAGTTCAACTATCATTAGATAATGAACGGGAACCCTTGCTTTATAAGATTTACGGTCTTGTGTGAGGTAACGCCATGCACTGTGCTGGCCATGATCAGAGTGCAGACCCATGATTAGGAACGGAAAATAAGCTCCATTCTTAATTCAAGTCTAGCGAAATGTCGAACAAAAAACGAAGCGCCTAGCTTTTTGGGGGGGCTAAATTGTGACCCTTTCATTACGTCGAGTGGTCGGGTGATGGATGAGTGAGGAATTGGAAAGGATTTGGAAAGAATACATTGTGGCTTGGTAAAGTTACATACCGACATTTGCCAACAGGGCCTGAGGAAAACCATGAAACCCCAGTCAGAATGTCTTGTATCCCGTTTTGAGAACCATAAGGGAAAACACTAGTAGGGAGAATTAATGCCCCCCAAAGGTTTATTCTTACAATGTGAAAATGAACATGGCCAACTATGGAGATATATCTGTCTGTGTGTCTGCCTGTGTCCTAGTAATCGGGGACTGCAAAGTATGACATATTTTCTTATAATTTCATATGGGGCACATTCATCTCACTTTCTTCGAAGCTTCTGATTTTCAGCTACATTGATCCGTAATAACACATGTTTCATATAGGATCATAGACGGGGATTTCCACGTCCCCCCTATGCTCTTTCCCATTCTGTTGAAACTCGAGACGGAAGACTTCCACAACATTTTGCCAGATAATTTTGATTTCCATACATTTTAATCAGGGGACGCAGTAGCGTAGTTGGTAGAGACACTATGCTACAAACCGCAAGGTTATCGGTTCGAGTCTCGATGAGGTCATTGGATTTCTCAATTGACTTAATCCTTCCAGCCGCACTATGGCCCTGGGGTCGACCCAGCCTCTAACAGAAATGAGTACCACGAATCTTCCCGGGGGCAAAGGGCTACCGGCGGGTAAGGCTGCCAACCTCAGTGCCATCTGTGAGCCGAAAAATCTAGAAAATGTTGGAGCCTCGACGTCACACAAACCTGTTGGCCTCCACGGCCTGTTGCAGAGATAGGTTTTACTGCATACATTTTGATATACATAAAATCGATTTTGCATAAACAGTAAATAGATTTCTTACATATACGGTATTAATCCTTTCACATACTTTGCTGAAATTCTACATGAATTTTAAAAAAATTGTATTTAATTCTTTATATTTTTAAATACTAAATATAAAGATTCTCAAAGATAGGCACTGATATTACATTATGGAGTACACCTCTCTCCAGTCTTATTTTATATTAAAGCAGGTAATATATATGCTTGCCGGTCACGGTAGCCGAGCGGTCTAAGGCATGCACTGTCTTCGCTTGCTCGGAAGCCGGGATCGTGGGTTCGAATCCCACTCAGGGCATGGATGTTTGTGTGCGTTTTTCTGTGTTTGTGTACTGGTAGAGGCCTTGCGACGAGCTGATCACCCGTCCAAGGAGTCCTACTGTATGTATAAGATCTAGTGAACCGAAGTGAAACGGAGAGTTTCGTGGAGGTAGGCCTAGGCCCAAATGAGAGCTGTAGCGCCAATAAGAAAAAATATGTACGCTTACGCTTTGCTGTAAGGAATTCGTCTAAGGATACATAGACAACTGGACCCTCTTGCACGAGAGCTCGCGAAACTGTAAGCTTTATTTAATTATATTACTTGAAATCTGAGCAGTGGTACACAATTTTAAGAGAAAGGTATATAAGTTATAATGAAACGTCACTAACAAATTAAACTGAATACCAAGTTCCAAAGAATATTCTTTTAAATTAGCTTGAGGCACAGTACTTTTCTAAAGCTCCAGTTTGTGTTTGCAATTAAAACACAATAGAGTACTTTCATTTCTCTCCAACAGCATCTAATTAGTTCTGTTATTATTTTTTCAGCCGAAGGACCTGCCTGAGAAGATGACTTGTGACAGAATTATGTGCCCATGTGCAGTCAGACATAACTTTGAAACGAAACAGATTAAGACAAAAGGTATGTAAAAGAAATATTTGAGATACATTTTTATAGTAAATTTTTCTATAAGCGTATTATCTGAAGATGTAGTTAATGACCGAATTAATTTATTAATATAGCAAATGCCTTTTACCTGTGATTTATGAGTCCTGTTTAATTCATACCGATACAAACCGAATGGTTATACGTCGGAGGAAATCATACATTCTACTACCATTGTGATAAATCGTAAAAGAGTAGGGCGTTAATGTGATATTTAGGAATTGATACGCTCTCTTGCACCAATTGTTTCAGTTATCCGAAATTTGTATACTGTTGCTTCACATCTCATTCACGTGGTTTTATTATCTGTCCTTAAGTCAGAACATAAAATATAAACGTAAATTACTACACCGACTGCTGCGAGTTCAGATGGCACTCCTTACAAAATTCCAAGTGGAGGAACAAATTTTTTAAAAGAAGATGAAAAAATTATTCATCAGAACGAAATTCCAAAGAAGCTGTTTGAACCTCAGAGAGGTGGAGTTTTATAATTTGTACTCCTCTCATATTTTTATTGCCACTAATTAGAGAAAAATTTGGTATGACATGTAGCATGCATACGAGAAATGAGAAAATTGTAGAGAAGTCTGTTCGGTAAACTTAAAGGAAAAAGGCTATTTGCGAGACGTTGAAGTAGAGTGGCATATAATAATAATAATAATAATAATAATAATAATAATAAATTTAAACCTCCCACTGCATCAACTGATCCCTTAATATTTATCCTCAGCTTTACTAATAAAATTTCGTAGTGTTTTCTTCTTTGCGTGGCTCTTGCTCCAGTCTCTCATTTCATTCACTAACTCAATATTTACAATACGTTTATAATACATACCAATAATATATATGATATTAAAGCGAAAAATATTGTGACATGTAGACCTATTTCTGGGAAAAGAGTTGACAAACACGTTTCCGTGGAGGTACGATTCTTGGAAACAACCATCGCTAGGTGTTAAACGTTTCCTAGGATACGAATGGTCAACAAACATTTCCTTAGATACCGATAAGCTATATAAGTGGCCGTTCAGATCAGAATGAAGCCATACTCATGTGGAGGCGGGGTCGAATACCTCCAACGTGACCCTGAGAGTCATAGGAGGCGACGGAAAAGGAAGTATCAAATCTGAGACAGTAAAATATGGTCGCCAGTCCTAAGGGATTTGAACCCGAGAAAGACTGCGCTAGAAAGGGCCAGCAGCATACACAAAAGACAGACCCGTCCTCTCGTCAGAGAGGGGGCCCCACAAACACAAGACCGTAATTGTAAAATAGTAATAAATATCTGGTCATAAACCCCAGATGGGGCTCGACACCAAGACTTATGGACTGATTGACTGTCAGTCGCAATGTGACTTTGACTTTGGAAGTCAGTCGGAGTTGAAGAAAGGCACCAGGAGAGAACACTAGAAGCCAGACTAGAAGAAAAGAGAGTCGCAATCCAGTCAAAATGGAGCGAGTCTTCGGCAGTGATTTATTATGTTATTTTAACTGATTCCGATTAAGAGAGATTATAAAAGAAGGTGTAAATAAATCAAACCATCCAGTTCAAAAATCACTATTATTAGTCACGCAGCTATAAAGACGTGACAATATTATCAAAATTTTGGGGTGACTATAGACGGGGTTAGGATGTGTGAATGGATTTATTGTCCACTTTATACATGACTCGGAACTACAAGCGATTGCTACGCTATCGCTGATTTGCACTCTCTACAAATAACTACACGTTAGGTCTTCTCTAGCCTTCACTGTCTATATTAGGCGTTGCTTGGTAACAACTCTTAACAATGGAGAATTTTCAGCTTCCGTGTTCACGTCGTTACTGTCTTGCGAATACACCACAACTGAACTCTCAGATGAATAATACCGCAATCTCTTCTCAGCCTCCCTTGCAGAATTCAACTCTCAATTGACTAATTCCCAGTCTGGCGGCCATTTCAAACCCACCTCCTAGGCGTCTCTTCATAGATTGACTTTCAACTGACAGCTCATTGGGTCGCCCCAGTTGTCTTGAAGATAACTCCTCGGCACAGACCACACAGAAAACATTCCCGTTCCCATTGTTGTAGTCCATGTGTTGCAGCTGCCTAACAACGGGTTGCATAACACCTTTCTCAGCAGTAACTCTATTGCTGTAGTAGCATGTTTACAGCGCCGTTGCGTAATAACGGCTGCTGTCTCTTTGTTTGTTTCGAGGTCTTTGCCTAGCAACGGATCTATACGCCACAACATATATGTATATATGCAGTATGACTATGAGAGCTGAAATTGACAGGGAAGTTATTGGTTAGAGATTCTTGATAAACCTAAGGCTTCTGTAAAAGCAGGGTTGTCCTTAAAGCGTAAATTCTTCTGTCATGTGACGCTTATAACACAAATGTATGAATGTATGTACAGATTTACCAACAACCGAAAAATCTGTTACTAACTAGTGATTTGTGGAAATTCAAAACATAAATAATCCACGGGGTAGATTTCTTAAAAATCTATTAGTCGCTGGACCGATGAAGAAATTTATTGGGTTTTGAGGAATTAGACAGTGGAATACCTTCTTCATAGAAA